CTATATATATATATACACACACACACACACACACACACACTTATATATGCTCTAACATAACAAGAGGAAACCACCGCTGAGCTCGTTTCCCACTTGTTCCCCATATAATCCACTTGTTTTCACTCTAAGCATGTATGCCATTTCTTTAAGCCAGTGGCAGGCAGCTAGATGGGAAGATTTAAATTAAAAACTCTATAGCAAACAGCAAACATCTCTGAAGTAATTAAATACTCCAAAACTTGATTAACAAGAATTAAAGCCACCCTCTGATGCCTTGTTTTTCCAAAATGTGGTGAGCACCTGAAAGTAGACCAGAATATTCAATACCACCTTATGCAGTAAACTTAACTTCACCCACTTATGCCAAGCCCAATCATAATGCACTTTTACCCTATACGACAACTTCTGGAAAGAGGTCACACAAGCCCTATATAACAGTTCCACAGCAACTCCTTGCTAAGCATGAAGACCCACCTGTAAGAGCTGCTGGGCATGCCTGTTATTTTAAGGCAGCAGCTCTGGGAGGAGCTGTCAGCACACAGGAGAGCACCTGACTAGAAAGGGGTGTGGCTTAACTGGGAGAGAAACCCAGGGCCAGAGCTGGGGCAGGCAGTCTCACCCTTGCTGCTGACATAGAAAGGAAAGTGGTTTCAACTGGCCCAGCCTCAGAGGAGGGCTAGAGCAGGACCAGAGGCTGGGACCAAAGGCTGAGGAGCAAAGCCAGAGAGCCTGAGGCAGGCCTGATGCACTGGGATGCCTGGGGAGCAAAGGACAATTAAAGAGCCAGAGGCCTAAGGCACAGGATACCCAGGTGACAGATTTAACAGATACGATACAGGAACCCAGGGATGCCCCTAGGGAGAAACACTTACCAGATGGGACACAGAGCATAATCAGTAACATCTGCAAGGCATGAGCATGATGTAAGGGGCAGCTGGAGCATGTAATAAGCCCCTACGGTGCCGAGTAATAAAACCTCAACAGCAGCGTGGGATCAGGGTTCCCTGGGGCAGCCTCTCTAAGGATCTAGTAACAACACAGCATGGCAGGTGAAGAGAAGGGGAACAAGCCCAAGAAGTGAGGACAGAGCAGGGGCCAAGCAGCCATCACTGGGACTAGTGCATGCTACACTACCTTAAACCACACCAGTATTCTTAAAATGTAATTCAGCCCTTCACCATTGCCCTGAGAATATCTTCTTAGACATGACCTTCACTTATTCCTCAAATGGCTGATAAACTACGACCAAATGTCTCCTTTGCTCTACTATCAGTAGATGATCCCCTAATGATGCATCAGTGACATTGCTGTCAACCTACCCATTCAATACAGCTACATCCAGCAATCCATGTAACTACATAGCATAGAAAGAAGTGTTGCAATTCAAATATGGATCATAATCAATTATCAATTCATATCAGTTGGATGGAACTGGCCTTACTGAGTGTTTCTTAGTACCTATTGCCAGCTTTAGGGAGTGAAATTATATTTGTAGTGAAAGGGTAGTGTGGACCCCTCCCATCTTATAATAGATAATATAATACTGGATCATCGTTTGTACAGGAGGCAGGTGTCAAAATTTCATATTCCTTAGAATGTATGCAACATTTTAAGACTAGAATGTCACTGTTCCTCACTGTCAGCGGTTCCTCTTCTAAACCTGAATTTTCAGAGAACATCTATGCATTACAAGCCCTTTGCATTTCAAAAAGCTCTTACCTGCAGCTTCAGTAAACTGCTCAGTATGATTTAATGCATCTGAGCCAATATAAAAATAAGGATGAATTCCAGGAACAACAAATGAGACATTTCCAAAGTCAGTGGAACCTAGGGAGAGAAAGAAAGCTGCTCAATGAACAAGTACTCTAATGTACATCTTATGAAACAAATAAGAGCTTTGATGTTAAAAAACCCCAACAACCTAGGACATTATGTTCATATAAAAACCTGCAAATCTCAGTAAACACCTCTACTGTAGAACAATTTTTTTTCAGATAGGTCCAATGGTGAGGAATAGCTAATTCATCACGCATGTGCAGTGAACTAAATGCTTCAAGATGCCTCATCTCCTCCCATTTAGTGGTTTAAATGTGTTTGCACTTCAGAACATCTAACAGTAGGACTATATGCAGGCTTCCTTGCAGAGACCATTGGTGCAAAGATTATCCAAAAGGTGCACAGTGCTCCATTCCAGCCATAGCAGCAAGACACTGGAGCTACTGACAGAATTTGAGACAGGTGGAGTCGCTTCAAAATTTTATAGCCTCTCTCAAGAAGGCACTCATATAGACCTAATGGTTACCACTTTCTGAAAGACTTCCAAAGTTCAGCAGTGCCAGCTGAATGCCTTTCTCGTATATGAATGGATCAGAGTAGAATTCTTCAAGAACTGCATGATGAGATAAACAACAATGTCTTTAGGTGTGGCTTTAATTATTTGCACTTGTACAAGTCTAACCAAATGGCAAATAAATCAAGCAGGGTAAGGTTGAAGGGTTCTAATGAAACAGATCAGAAATATCCTTACAAAAGTTAGCTCACATATAGATGTCATGATAAGATACAAATGCTTTGTAAACAAAGGCTATGATAACTGATAGCAGCCTTGAAGATTCTTATCCTCGAAACATTAAAGACACCATCAGTGCTTTTTTAGCCAGGTTGAGTAAGCCTTAAGGCCCTACATATTAACACTAGCTAACCTGCAGCATTTTAGAGCACTAGAGATGCACTGATATATCAGTCCATATCAGATAGGCACCAATAAAAAGAAAATTAACATTATTGGCAATCTGCCTTTTTTGGCTGGTGTAGCCAGTAATGTCACTAATAAATGCCACATGCTTGTGCACAGTTGCAGCATGCAAGTGGCCAGGAATGCAGCCTACAAGCTTGGAAAGCAGTATCTAGCTGGTAAGTCGGGGGGACGGGCAGCAGATTGAGACCCCCATGGTAAGGGAGGGAACAGGGCACGGGCTGCCTAGCTAGGGTGGTGAACGCAACCCCGGGAGCAGGATGGAGCCATAGGTGGGTCATCCAAGGAACGGTGAAGGGTGCAGCTCCCCACCATTCCACGCACTCCCAGGGGAAGCATGGGGGGCATGTGCCCCCCAGATTTGTGCACAAGACAAGGGTGGGCAGCCCACTGCAGGCTCAGGGCCAGGGGCTGTGCCAGACTCTTTAGGATGGGGCTGCACTCAGGGTGGGCAGGTCGGGGTGGCGCTGGGAGGGGTGGCTACGGGGTGGGTTTTAGCCATGTCAATATTCCCCGTAGCCACCCCTCCCAGTGCCACTCCCGCCCACCCCAAGCACAGCCCTAGCCCAGCCCCACCCCCACCAGGAAGAGGCTAGCATAGCCCCTGGCCCAGAGCCCACAGCAGGCAATCTGCCCTTGCCCCATGCACAAATCTGGGGGGCACAAGCCCCCTATGCCTCCTCCAGGGGTTTGTGCAATGGCAGAGCCAGTGGCTCTGTCCCACTCCCGGGGTCACATTTACTGCCCTAGCTGGGCAGTGCCTGCTCCTGCCCCTCTCCCTCCCTCACTGTGGGGGCCTTGATCTACCCCACCCCCCAACAACTCCCCTCTCTTCTGTTCCTTCCCCCCACAGACTTACCAGCCAGACACTGCTTTCCAAGCTGCCGTGCTGCATTCCTGAAAAATCAGCTATTGGATCAGTATCAGCTGATATGGCTGGTTAATAATTAGCCATCAGCCAAGAAAATGTTTTATCAGTGCACCCCTACACAAAGCACAATATAAACCATTTAGACCAATGATTCTCAACCAGGGTGCCATGGCAATCTGAGGTGGTGGGAGATCCTTTTAAGGGTGCCATAGACTGCTATGAAATATTAGCACTGTTAGGTGTGCAAACACCTATACATGATTTGCAAACTAGACCACAACACGTTTGAAACTTTTTGACACTATAGGTTGGGTTTCTCTTCAGTTCTTTGCAATAGAAGAACTGCTCTATTATTCTTCCAAAGTGAAAAACAAGAGCTAATATTTTCCCTGGGGTGCCTGGGATGTAAAAAGATTGAGAATCACTGATTTAGACAGGTGCTTATGGCATTCCTTTCAAACTGATCACCCAAGAAC